TGTTCCAAATCTAACCCAGGGAGCAAGGAGTTTGGTGCAGTGTCTTTGGAGACAAAATGAGTGAGCATAATTAGAAGCATGATTTTTCATTTGGTGTGGCAAGTGTTACTTTTGATACTGAATGGCTTTGATAGTTTATTAAAATACAAATTTATTTGGACATGTGATACACCATGTAAATTTTGGCAGGCCCAGAAAGAAACAAGACAGGTAGTAGACATGAAAGGTCATACTACTGTAGGATGCGAATCAGTGTCTTGATGGTGCACAAAACTGATTTGCCACAGTCACTGAAACTTTTTGGTACCAAGAAAACCACCTAAAATTCAGGAGTGTAACTTTTAGAACTTGTTATGGATCTCTGCTATATGTCTGTAAAGAAAATATGTTGCCAAGTAAAATAAGAAACACTCGATCTTCAGACACACCAAGAAGCTGATCTCACTCTTGTGAAATGTTCCGGTAAAATGGGACACTTGTGTGTTTTTTAATGATTAAATCCATTTATCAGTTTAGTAATTCATTCATTAAATCATTAACGTAACCTAACTATTCATTAAAAATTGACTGTGATGCGCTTCCCTGTTGTTTAGCTGCCCGTTTCCTTGGTGCCGTATTATCTACAATGGACATGTGTGTACTTGTGTTTGTGTAACAATTATGGCTAATTCTGGACTACCGTGGCTGACATAGACTCACTGTATCATCTGTGTATCATACAGTGAGTCTATACGTCTGATACAGATTCTTTTGTTCTTTTTACAGTGTTCGATATCTTTAAATATGACCATAGAAAGTATTCATTGTTGTTTAAGAGAGCTGTATTCAGAGTGGTAAAGCCTCTTAAGCCTAGTTCACATTACACGATTTTCACCGCGATTTTGAAGTCGCAGAGGATCTTGAGAGCCACCTTGGGTCGGAGGTGAGTCGGCAGATAGTCAGACAGTCCTCATGTGTGAACAAGCCTACGAGCAAGTCGCCCCCTCGTCTAAGACTGGGACTGGATATCTGGCATGCTAGAAAACTGGACAAGTCTGACACGACTGACAAAGAGCATCAGCCAATGAGAGGCAGGATACATCCCACGTCAGCACGCAGGAGGACGGAAGAAATGTGAGAAGGACAAGCCGCAGGGTTGCCAGGTCCGCTTATAAGAGCAAATATTGGAAGTTGCGGGTTGCGTTTTTTTGGGCTTGTTTCTAAAGTGGAGTTGCTACTTTGGACTTGCTCTCTAAACGTTACCTTTCTCTATATATATCCGTCGCTTCTTTTGGGCTTGTTTCCATAGCCCTGGTTGCTTGTTTCTCTCCCGAGATCTGGCAACACTGACAAGCAACAACAACAAGAATGGCGGCGTCCACAGGATCACGGGGAGCGCGTTGTGTTTAGACCCAGGCCCTGGAGGCAGATCTGATTCAACACTGGGAAGAACATCCATGCCTTTACAATGTGTCGTCTCCAAGTTAAAAAATGTAGTTTGGTGACATCACCGCGTTATCTGGGGCTCTGTCGGCGAGGGCTCAGTGGAGAAATCTTGTGTTGTGCATACACAGGTCATAACGCAGTTGGCGAGACCCCCGATGACAGAAACACAGGTCGCCAGGTATGAACACTCAAATGACTACGATTGTCTCTGTGATGCAAAATCAGGGTGAAAATCGTGTAATGTGACCTCGCCTTAAGGCAGTATTTTACATGAAGTATTTGCTTACTGTTTAAATTGCTCCTGAAACTTCTCAGCCTTCACATGCGCATCAACATTAGGTGTGCAAAGTCATCTAGAGGGCCGGATTGGACCCTTTGGCAGGCCAGTTATGGCCCCCGGGCCTTATGTTTGACAGCCCTGGACTAAAAGGTGTGAAATGTAATCTGGAGCAAGGCCATTAAGAGCCTTATAAGTAATTAATAAGATTTTTAAGTCAATCCTAAAACAAACTGGTATATAAATACAACCACTGGGTTTCTGAATATTTGGTGCGTCCATTGGAGTCATCTCAGACCAAAAAAGTTTCAGTCCAAGATGTAAAACCTTATCTGTCCCATTTTTCCTGATGTCCCACATTACCTGGTTTCACCCAGGACATACAGTGGATAAGAGGCACATTGTGACATTGAACATCTGGGGTTTGTTTGGTAATTCACCTTTACAGGTGGTACAGATGTGTATTATTACTCCTTTATTATATATTTTAGGATATAAATATTTTGTTTGAGGACTACATGCAACAGTGTCCTCTGTGTTGAGATAACAGTATCACTATCACTAAAGAGGACCATAGTTTGTCTCCTGTGTGACTCAGTTAAACAGGTGAAACAGGTGAAAGAGGAAAGCACCGCGATAACGCGAGATAACTATATCGCTTTCGCCTCTTTATGTGAGTCTAATGCACATTAGCTCTGCCAGCACAAACTAACGAGCCATTACCGACCCTTCCCTGAACATAATTAATTTTCCCTCTGGGTCGCATGCTGTTGAATGACCAATTTCTTCATTATCATCAGTGGGGAAGAAGGAAGCTGCAGCCTGTACTCTTCCCCAGCGGTGAGCGGACGCTTCCCAGGCTCCGCAGCGTCAACACAGTCGTTGCTGATTAGAAGAAAAAAAAAATCTCCGACGAAGAACCACAAACATGTCGACGGGGAGGAAAACAGCGTTAAGGTAATGAAACCGACAAGTGTTTGCGCTGTGTGACGGATGATGCTGTGTGCTGTTAGCTGCTGCAGCTAGCTGTTAATTCATGCTAACGTCTGGTGGTGTTGTGGCAAGCTGTCGGCAGGAGGTGCGGGGTGATAAGGCGCTAAGCAGTTTGGACCTTTGAACGTTACATCAACTGGAGTGTTCAGGTGAAACGGCCGTTAGCATGTACACACGGTATGTTCGATCGTTACGATGCTAACCGCTGCTAGCAGGAGAGGGAGCGTTCATTACATGATGGGGAGGCAAGAACTGTGCCTCTATCCAACATGTAATACATGTACTTAAGGAAACATATACAATTAAACGTGTAAAATTATTTTATTGGTGAAAAACAGCGGAGAATATATTGGTTTTATTAGCTAGTTTGACTGGCGCGAGACAAACTTTAACGTTTGCTTAGAAGTTAAACATCAGTGATGCTGTCATCACTAAGATGACACTTGCACTAATTTTATTTGTATTCACCACATAGAACAAAATGACGCTATTAAATTATTAAAATTGCACAGACGCACAGTTGTCGCAATGAAATATATAAAAAAGCAGGAACAAGCGACTAAAACAAATAATGCAGCCTAATATACAGAGTAAAGTAAAGACTGTAAATGCATCCTGGGTCTTCAATTAAAACATTGGCCCTGCATTTTTTTCTGCCAGTTTCTTGTGTCCCATCATCAGTATTATCATCTCATCATCCTATGAAGCACATAGCTATTAGCCTAACATAAACAGTGCTGACAGGCAGCTTGTGTCTTGTTGACATTGTGCATAATGGTAAGTTAATGGTGCTGCGTTCACTTGACTCGAGGAAAGCTCCTGCAATGAAACTGTCCATAGCCACGTTTCTGGGTGAACGTTCAAAGGCAGTAAGGACAGATGAGGAGCTATTTTTTACAGGCTTGAATAGATCTTGGCAAAGGTGATACACTCAACTGTAATTGTTTTGTACTTAAAACACAATGCAGTAAATCCAAACTGACAACGACAGGTAAAATAAACAAACAAACAAATAAAAAATCCACATGTTCATGCACACACAGATAACAGGCTCCCTAACAAAAGAGCAAGCAAACAACCTAATGCTTCAGAAATAATATGGCAGCAGCTAGTCAGGGAAGAGGAAGGAAGGAAACAAGGTCTACTTTCATGGATCGCATTTTGACAAGTCACAGGATAAGCACATGCATAAATCATAAAGTTATTGCTGCTTCAGTTTCCAGCTCCTCATCCTGTGCAAGGTGACTCACTGTTGCACTGTCATGGTTAAGTGGGACACGTGGATAGGAAAAAGCCATAGATTATGTTTTTTTGCATAGTTTTGGGGGGGCTGTTGAGACAGTCATGTCGCCAAAGCAATTGTCCTGCCTGCTGCACTCTTGTCCAGAGTATCTCAGGTCTCCAACAGTGGTATGGAGGAAGGAGTTGCTCAATCTAAGCAGGGGAAAGGCCATTCATTGCAAGATGAAGATGACAGACATTTCAGCTTCATTCATAGGAGGCCAGTTGAGGGAGCAAAATAGTCCAAGACTGTGGGTGTAGATTGTAGGGGAGGACACACAGGGAACAAGTTCACCTCAATATGTAGTGCATGTGCAGAGGACTTTCATTTTGACAAAATTAAAGACATTTACACCATGAATTGATGCAGAAAAGCACTAATTGGTGCTCAGAATGCATATTGATTAATTAATTAAGTGTTTGATGCTCAGAATTTTCTGGCAGAGGATCCCCAGTCCACCAGTTTCATGTATTTTGCCCCCACTGTTGACATGAAACCTTGCTTAATACTTTAATAATCATAAATAAAATCACTCCAAGTCAAAATACAATCATAAACTCCTTAAAATTATATCAACAAGGAGCTGACACAGTCAAGTTTCCCATATGACCTAATTTGACCTTTTTGAAAACGTGGTAGTTGCTTATTATTTTAATACACCATTGATCCTAAAGGAACAAGTAAATACGTTGTGTTACACCCTGAAAATAAGTGATGAAAACTATTCATTTAATTCATTAAAAAGTGTTGACCTGCCAAAAAAACTGAAATATGTAGGGAATAGAACTTATTATTTCCATATAGGCTGAATTGAATGCACATTTTAGCTGTGTAAGAACAACAAATTTAAGTTTTCTGATGCTGCTGGTTTATATAATGTTTGTATACAGCTACAAAACGTCTACATATTTGCTATATGTTTATGAAAACTGTCATAAAATTATAAGCAAATAAATATGTAATGTGCATGGTTAAAAAATTACAGATTAGTCCTTTTAAATTTCCTTTTAATTGTTTGTATTGTTTACTTCATGGTCCACTTTCTTTCCCAGTGGCCCCAAACGCAGCACAGAAAGCTTAGCAATAATTGGAACATGTGTAGCCAACCATATGCCTAGTAGCCGTAAGTCCCGCCCTTTGTGCTCTGCCAACCAGTCAGTGTTGACCAAAGTACAGCTGCAGTTCCTGTAGTCAAAAAGCACGTTGCTTTGACAGAGAGGAGGAAGCTTTTAATCATCACGTTAGGCTGCTGTGATTTCTGACATAATGCCAACTCCAAGGTAAGATCCAAACGACAATGTCCTCCAGTGTTTCCTCAGGGTCCAATTCTGCTGTCATGGTTGTCCTCTTTAAATTGTGCTCACAGCACTGACAGCCTTTCAGTGGCTTGATTAAAAACACTACAAGAAAGTGTATCATGTCAAGCTCTTAGGCTGATGTGTTAAGATGTGAACTCTTCAGTGAGTCTTAGGAATCAAAGCCAAACTGCTTTCAGTTACTTATCTCTGTGATCCAAACCAGACATTCAGCACTTCTGTGTCTTGTGTTTCATGAAAGTTGGGTAACCTGTTATGAAGACTGCAGACTTTGACCACTGTAATATCTTGTCGCTGAAAATTTCTAGCTGAAAGTGTCATTAGGTATACATGCAACATTTAAAACAAGCACAATAATGTTTTCCCGCTTTGACACATAGTCTAAGCATGCTGAATGAATGAATGACGCACAAGCTACACACGTCCGCCCATGAAAACATTGGCACACCAGTTGTTCCAGAGAATAATAATCCTTGCTTTTCATTTGACTAATCTCCACCTGAATGGGGGAAAAAGAAACTCTATGACTGGCAGTTTCACATTTCTCAGTACAAGCTGAGGAGTGATCCCTCCCAGAGTCGTAAAAACTCACTCATTAGTCTGTTATGAGCTCATTAGTTTGCAACTGTACAGGTTTGTGAAGCTTTATCCTCTCCATGTGTTGACTGTAGAAAGGAGGTCAGGCAGCACAGATATCAGCTTACATGGGTTCATCCCTCGGTGAAGTTTCAGAGACTTAATTCAACAAAACAGACCAGATAAATTAAAATAATCCTTTGAAGATGCAGCACAAGACAGGAATAAGTCCAGATAAAAAGTGAAAGAAGAGGAAGAAATAGAATAAGAGGCATAAACAAGCAGAAGTAAAAATATGAACTACACAAGAGCAGATAAATGCAAAGTTTTGTGGTGAAGTGACAAGATAAAGTTACCAAACAGAAACAGATGATTTCTCTGTCACAGCCGATTGTTTGTTTCCTCTGTTCGTGCAGAGCTGGCGAGTGGGAGTCCACATAATACAATAAGTTTTTGTCCCCCCCCACAGCGAGAACGCACTCTTTGGGATGGGGAATCCCTTGCTCGACATTTCAGCTGTCGTGGACAAAGATTTCCTTGACAAGTAAGTCTAAACAGCTGTTGTCTCTTTTTTTCACCTTCATATTTCTCTGTCACGCCTGACCAGAACGCACTGACGTTATATTATTTTTCTGTCCTCAAGGTTCGGACTGAAGCTTAACGACCAGATCCTCGCCGAGGAAAAACACAAAGCCTTGTGAGTCAAACCTCCACTGGGACACCACATGCTTGGATAGTGTAAAGTGTGAAAACGACATGGAACCAAATAAGGGATACACTGGTCATTCATACCTACTACTCTTGACACTGAGCTGTGCTCAAAATAGCCAAGTTATAAATCAACCCTCTGTAACTGGGAGCCTCAGCACTTGACACGCCCACACATTTTTCTCATGCTGAATTCGAGCCAAACTATACTAAGATGACTCTAAATTTACTGCTCTGGGCTAAATAGTAGATCTACTATATTTTTACTGCCTTTTTTTAACTGCATGTCATTAAATTGATGCAAAATCATTGTTTATTCTAAAGGATGGCTCTGCTGAGCATGCGCACTCCTCTTCCAGACCCTCCCTCCTTCACTATGCAAGTGGATGCAGCAGTAATAGTATAGCCTTCCTCGAAAACATGGTCCCTGAACGTAGCGCTCTGCTCCTTATGAAACGCGCCTGAAGGTGAACACAGACTGTAAACAACAGAAAGACTAGAATTAAATTTACTGACTGACCTCTTTCATCTGTTTGATCGAGTGCAGATGGTGTCGTCTCAGGGAATTTGTCTCTTCATTTTCGTGCAGACATAAAATAGTTCACCATCTGTAAGTAAGATGATGGTGAGAGGCAGATGTTTTCTTTGAAGTCTCAAGGAAATCTCATATTCTATATTTGGGATATGTAAACTAAATGAGCTTGAGAATGTATAAAAATGATTGAATGATCTTTAATACTTACCTCGGTAGCAAAAGACACAGACTGTCTTGACTAACAGCCAAAATTTTACTTTCCATACACTGCAATAGTTGTAAGCCATGGCCTCAGGTGTTCATGAGTTTTATTTGGCGCTTTTCCACTCCAGACTGAAACTTTTTTTTTTTAGGGGTCAATTCTATACCAGGAAGGTGGGCGTTTTTATTCAACTGAGTGCAGTAGTTCAGGAGAAAGTAGGAAGTTATTCAAAAATACCATATGTCACAATGTTGAGAAAACCTTTTCAAAAATTCCTGGATTCAGCTTTGCATCAAAAACTCACTTGTTCCTGGTCCAATTGAAAAAACATAACCTCCTTTGTGGATCAGTTAGACAATTTGACAGTACAGAAATCCAAAAACTAGAGCGCTAAAACTCAAATTTGTGATGTCGTAGGGGATATAGTCCGAAGCTGCTCCACAGACAATGAATTGGGAAAGATGGTCCAGATCAGTGCTTCCCAACTGGCTCGCAAGTCGGGTCAAGTTTGTAAAAAACATACTTTATTTGGAATTTCTGGCACAGAGCTTTTATGTTGAAGTGCTGTTTCCTGCTGTAGAGTGATTGACTAGCAGACAGCTCTTTGACAGAGACAGCAAACTAGCTGGACGACATGGCAAAACGCAACTATGATGCTGCTGAATATATTTAACTATGTGGATCTTGAATGACTGACAAAGGAAAAATCTGGACCCCGTGGCTGGACCAGTTGGGAACCGCTGTTCTAAATGTCACAGAGAGCACCCAGGGGAATGTTCTGAGTATATCGGTACATTTTCAATTTCATAACTGAGAGCACGACATTAGAACAAAGTTCATTTGTGTAAAAAAAGAAAAAAACATTCACAAAATCAGACTTCATTTAATGTCTAAGAAGCAGCGCCAGATGTGCTCTTCCTATTAATTTTACTCATGGTGGTGCTTACTAGACATAATATGTAATATTCGGACATAGCTTGTAGCCAAATTGCTTGCCTCCACTCGGCCCAGGTCACATTATCTTTAGGCCTTTATTTAACCATGGTGGACTCACTGGGCACAAACACTCTAATGCAGGAATCCATTGCTCAACACTGGAGCTCATTCACATTTGGATGTAAGATAACCACGTAACTCTTATCTCCTGGTCACTGAGCAGCTTCACTTGAGCAGTTTGATACCTTGCTCAAGGGCACCTCTGTGGTGGTAATGTGGAAAGGGGGGCAAGTGCTGTTCTTTGACTTTCTGAACCCAAGTAAGGGACATGTTTGATCCAGCACTTGTTGAAGAGTGTTTTTGTATGTGCATACTTTTTTTGCTCCAGTCAAAATGCATCTTGACATTAAATTTTTGAAAGGACACTGGTATTATCAGGACCATTCATTTGAGATTTGTAAGCATGAAGGGAGGAGAGGCTGCTTTAATGGGCACAGCAATACAAATCCAGGATCTAGTATACTGGAGACACAACTCTTTTTCATATTCTTGTTTTAATGTAGAATAAAATGGCTGAAAGGAATAATTTGGATTTTCCCAAACCGTTGTCAATGCTCTCTTCAACACCAGATTCCTTTGACAAAATTAGTAATTTTACCTTGCAGAACAGTGGAGTTGCTTGTCCACTCCGGCCTTGACCAGTGAGTTTGTTTCTGTTATGTGTGACTTTGGTGTTTTAAAGGGTTCGTTTGGATTCACCAAAGTCGCACAATAACCCAAACAAACTAACCAACTGTGCAGTGGTAGCCCAGAAACTCCTGGGTTCTGTAAGGTAAAATTACTGATTTTGTCAAAGGAGTCTGGTGGCTTTGAAAAGAGCGATATACCGGCTTCAGTTCCCTGTTGGAAAGAGCTGTCTGAGGATAAGGTAACACTTTGAAAATATTCTAAATATAGCGTACACTTAAACCTAACTTGAGCTGCTCCCGTCCACAACAGTGCACTGCTTACTCCTCATGAAACTGGGGGCCTGCTGACCGCCATCTACTGTAGGTAAAACACTGGCTACAGACAAGAACCTCATACAATCCCATTTCAAAATAACTACAACTTTCCCTTCAACATTAAATACGAAAGCCTTGGACTGTCTGTGTGTTTAGTAGGAGAATAATACAAAGTTGTTTCAGGAAAGTTTGGTGAACATTTGGTTGCATTTGAGCATTTTCACTACTAATGCGAATGAAAAAAGAAATCTGGCCCACTGTTCTGTGATTATATGTCTTGGGCTTTGATGCAGATCTGGATCCAGCTGCAGATTAAACATCTGTAAATAGTTCTCTGTTATTTAAATGGCAAATTTAGAGGATTATGCAGCCTTGGCAGGGGTGTCTGCTCTCTGAGTGCTTTCTAGTTTGATGGTGTCTAATTTTAGGAGACTGCACGTTGAGCAGTTACAAACCTTACTAATGTTTTTATGCATACATTCAAAGCAAATCACAGTGCAGTGATTTTAAAAGGTACCTGAGTAATGCATACACAATGAGTAAATAAAGACAGATCAGTACATCAGCTCGTCTGTACCTTACATTCGGCTACCTTGTCAGGTCTTGTTACTTGACAAAAGGACACATGTGACCTTGGGCGGCAGTAGCAGCAGCTAAAAAGCAGCATCATCAGCAGTGTTGTTCTCCTCCGGCACAAAGGCAGCGGTGTTATCTTTAGCCCCACAGACACCGTTCCCTCCACATTCTGCACAAGGTCAGGGCAGGATTAACATGCCGCTTTGGTGGTTTATACCCAGCACAATGCATTTCAATGCATGTCCCCTGCAATACCACACACACCAACATACTGTCCCTCATGTCCGTCAATTTATATCCAAAAGTACATGTGATATATTTATCACATTATCTATTAACTGATAGCAGTGCAGGTCATGAGAAACTTCAGCTATATGAGCTGTGGTATTCGTATTAAGGATGCTGGGTGGCTACAAGGTGCAGAGAGGTCATTCACAAGGTCATTGGTCCATGGAAGAAGAACTCGACTGCAGTGTTGTGACAAATAACATCATTACTTAAAAAGCCACAATAGACTTACAAGTCTAGTCGACTAACACTATTGTTGTGCTCCTGAATCTACAGAGTGTAACGCGATTCATTTTTTCTTCCCATCACCCTGGTGGGAGAGAGATCATTGGATGCAGTGCACTGTGGCCATGCCTGAATTCAATTATCTAGTCACAGCAGAGCCCATATAATCCTGTTGTGGCTGAGGAATTGCCTGCTGTAGAAACCATCAACATCCCTGTTAGTACTGGCTGGGGACTTAATGTTTTTTTTTCCTGGAATAAGCCTCAACTGTGACTTTTGATGCCTTTTCATTTTGCGTCAAATGTTTTACAAGTTACAGTTTGTCGTAGCGATTAGTTGATGGACAGAATATAACTCAACCACAATTTTTGTTTTCTTTTTGGAAAGTTTATCAAGCAAAAACACCAAGAATTTTAGTTTCAGCTTCTCAAAAATGGAGATTTGCTTCTTGTCTCTGCTTCATAACATTATAAATTGGATGTATTTGGATTTGTGACTGTTGGTTGGACAAAACAAACATTTTCAAGCGAACATTTAACTTATCATTATGAAATAAATGTTAATTGAACAATGTAATGGCTATAGAATAATAACCCCATCATTGTGAAGATTGGTTCCCTGTTGCCAGGTACTAGTGGTAGTGATCACCAGGGGCCCACATGATTGGATATTACCACGATTCTGAAGACATGATCCAATGTGAATTTAAATGTTTTGCAATATAATGAGTATTGCGATAACATATATTGTGATTCATTAACCCTTTCAACTGCAAATTTTGTCCTTAAAGATTAACTTTATCGTCTTTTTGTTCCCCTTCAATCATTTTTATTGCAGCAAAATGTATCTAGTGGCCTGAAAAAGCAATTGATCTTATTAATCTAATAGGTTACAAATGTTTAATTTATTTGCAATATTAATAATCTCTATAATAGAAAAATCTACACTTTGCATCCATGTATCAATATAATATTGCAATGTAAAATATTGTAATCGGTACGATCTCCTGTGAAAATGAAAGCTTAGTTTACGAACAAAGACAGTGCGTCAGCCATTGCGCAATCAAAACAGAAGAGGGTAGCGCTTTTGTTTCCTCTAGTAACTATCGGTAGCTATCCCCAATTATGAAATAGCACCAGTGTAAGTTCTTTGCAGTTACTATCCCCAGTGGGGAGTGGTAGACTGCGGAAAAACCAAAGTAACCATGGAAACTGTGGTACCTG